TATGGAGTTCTTTGTTTAGGCGGTGATTGTTCCTGTGTAGCACTACCGGGTTCACTAGGATTGCCCGTTGACATCATCTTAGAACTAGGTTCCAACTGATGGCCTGATGGAGAAGATGTACCAGTGATATCATCATCAGGACTTCCATCCCCTCCTCGGTTGGTATCTCTAGGAGATACGCCTCGGGATGTTATTTCTAGCTCGACCACGCTAGAGAGTTTGGCTGTGGGTGGTGGCTGTTGGTTTGTTGAGGTTTCAGGTTGAATTGGCTGTGGAGTATGGCTTGGAAGAGTAGTTTGCTCAAGTGATCGAGGTCGCTTGTTCTCCCCCTCATGAGGATCCGAATCATCGGGGTCCTCATGGGAACGTTTGCGACCACGAAGACTCTCCTTGCAAGTACTCTTGGTTTCGGGTGAGGAAAGAAGAGCTTCTAGTATGGCTTGCTGATGAAGAGTGAGGTTGTCTTCTGGGGTATTTAAGAGATTGTTCAGCAAAGCCGAAGCTAGGGTGTCAAAGGATAAGGAGGAAAGATCGATGGAGGGTGTGGTCGGGTGTGGGGAGAATACCGGTTCTGTATTCTGGGTTCCTCGAGAAATAGAAGGGATAGGGATTTGGTTGATGGATTGGTGGGATAGAGGGGTGGAGGATATGGGTTGTGTATGGGAGATGAACGGTTCAGGGGAAGGTTGGGGTGGTGTCTGTTCAGACCGAACCGCTTGGGTGGTCCTAAATTCCTGTGCTAGAGCGGTCATTGCATCTTGCACCCATGGTTTAATGGTGGAATCTAGGAAGCGATTTAGTAGAACGTTTACGTCTTCAAAGGTAGGGTGACCAGTTACGGGGGTTGTAACTGTTGACACAGCATCAGTGAAGATTGCTGATGTGTGGCCTGCATTTAATGATGGAATCATTATGGGCGTAGCAGGGCTTCCAACCGTCATAGCTTGCGCTCTGGTTGTTGCGTTCAGGGTGAGTGCACCTGTATGTGCTGTGAATAGTGTAGGTGTCCTAGAAAAAGAAGAAAATGTGGGAAATGTGACACCTAGACTCGATGTGAGTGAAGAAGGGGTTTTGACCTTGGGAGATAGGTCAATTTTATGCTCAACTGATTCAGAAGGAACCAGCGAGGGGGTTGAATCCCGTCCTTTTGAAACAATAACCTTTTGAGAGGCAATTGAGTGGCTGGGAGAGGGTTGTGCATGCGCAGTTGAGCCAGATGCTGCGACTTCTACTCGGGAACCGAAAAGATCGGCTCCTGTGCTTAGGGATTCGGCTCGGCTTATCTGGATAAAGGAGTCGCAGCCAGCAAAGATGTGCTCGTCTGCCTTATCAAACAGACTCTTTGTCGCTCGGGGCTGGGGCCTGGCCTTAGCAACCTTGTCATTTTTGACTTTAGCCCTTGTCTCTCGGATGACAACTTCTTCCTGGTTGATTGATGTTTTGATGGAGTGAGCTGCCTCGTCGTAATCATCCTTTGAGCAATTAGTCTCGCTCGGATCAGCTCTTGGTTTAGCTGTTTCTTTAATAGTGAAGACTTGAGGTCTGCGAGCTATGATTGGTGCTGCGTCTTCAGCAGTGATTCTTCTCTTCTTTGGAGATTCGACGGGCAGCTTCCCTTTTCTAATTAGTGCATATGTGAGCTCCACATCGTCACTATCATTGTTATCACTGTCATCATCCGAGTCTGATTTGTCACTCTCTGTGCCCACGCTCTCAGAGGCCTTGTCGTCAGTGTTTGTTTGGGCTCCACTAGACGATTCACTGGCCGTTTCCTCAGCGTCTTCCTCGATGCCCTCAGCCGCCTGACTCGTCTCTAGAGAGTCGTCAGACTTCCCTTCATTGGGCAAACCGGCCACTGGTTTCTGTGGCTTTTGGGCTCTCTTAGGACCCTTACTTTCACTCGGCTTTGTCCCCGGGGTAGGTCCAGCTGGGTTTTGCTGAACCATAGGGACAGTTCTCTCAGTGGCTTCCTTGTACTGCTGGACCGCTGGATTTGAAGATTTGACAAGCTTGAGCAGAAATCCAGGGATCCTTAGACCGAAGATAGGATTCTTGTCTGCTTTGAAATATTGCAGCTTCGGTGCATTGAAGTGTGGATCTGAGCTCCGTTTTGGTATTGAGGAGTGCTCTGCCATGGAGTCGTGAATGATTAGCCCGAGCCACCTTGCGTACGGGATGGTACCTGGCCTGTTCTTTTCTTTGGCTTTGACCAGGTCCATTAGCTCTGAGAAGAAGAGCTGTGCCAGGTCGTAGTTCTTGTTGAAAGCAATGCCATGAAAGATTAGCAGTATCTGCTTGTTGCACTTGTCGAAGCCGGCATGCTTAGGTGACAGGCACTTGTTTACCAGCCCGAAGAGATTCTTCCACGGATGGTTAAGATATGCTCCGTTGAAGTTGGAGAGCTGTGGCAGTAGAGATGTGTAGCCAAGGGATGCCACGTCTTTGAGCAGATCGGGGATGGTGGGCAGTGCATCATACGTATCGTGAATTGGCAGTGCTAGAGTAGTCCGTAGAGTTGATGGCGTCAGGATCACGCGCATGCCATTCAGCTTGGTCTTTATTTTTGATCGATCCTTTGGAGATTCTGTATGCATGTGCCCCCAGAACTGTTGTAGGTATATCTCTGGCACCGGTTTTGAGTTGTGAAGTGCAGGCCAGAGATAGTGACCCTTCATGATGGCTGGAATGATTGGGTTCTGGCATTTGAAGACTGCAAGGTCTAACTGGAAGTTATTGTCCAGCACCTTGATCCATTTGTCTTGTGAGTAGATGGCATCATCGATCTGTGCTTTCGTGTTTCCTGCCATTTTAAACTGTAGAAGCATGGGGTCAGCACATGAAGTTCAACTGTTTGATTTGATTTTGAAAGAATTTGATTTGCGTTTGTCAGATAGGTTTATGCAGGTGGAATTTTGAAAAAATTACTAAGTCCACATCTCGAGATCTGAATCTCGAGATCATGATTTCGAGATCCAAATCTCGAGATCTTGATTTCGAGATTCAAATCTCGAGATCATGATTTCGAGATCCAAATCTCGAGATCTTGATTTCGAGATTCAAATCTCGAGATCAAGATGTCGAGATGAAGATCTCGAGATCTTGATTTCGAGATTCAAATCTCGAGATCAAGATATCGAGATACAGATCTCGAGATCTTGATTTCGAGATTCAAATCTCGAGATCAAGATGTCGAGATGTCCATCTCGAGATCTTGATTTCGAGAAGTTGAACCGACGATCTCGAGATCCAAAAACTCGAAATCGTGATTTCGAAACGAAGAATCCACCTGCAAAAACAAAGATATATCAATCAATAACAAATGAT